ACTACTACTACTACTACTACTACTACTACTACTACTACTACTACTACTACTACTACTACTACTACTACTACTACTACTACTACGACTACTACTACTACTACTACTACTACTACTACTACTACTACGACTACTAAAACTACTACTACAACTACTACTACTACTACGACGACTACTACTACTACTACCACTACTACTACTACTACTACTACCACTACTACTACTACTACTACGAATACGACTACGACTACGACTACGACTACGACGACTGCTACTACTACTATTACTACGTCGACGACGATTACTACTACTATCACTACTAAAACTACTACTGCTACTACTGCTACTGCTACTGCTACTGCTACTACTACTACTACTACTACTACTACTACTACTACTACTCGACTACTACGACGACGACGACGACGACGACTACTACTACTACTACTACGGCTACTACTACTACTACTACTACGACTTCGACTACGACTACGACTACTGCAACTACTCCTTCCTCCTCCTCCTTCTCCTCCTCCTCCTCCTCACCTCCTCCTGCTCCTGCTCCTCCTCCTCCTTCTCCTGCTCCTCCTCCTCCTCCTCCTCCTCCTCCTCCTCCTCCTCCTCTCCCCATCCACAGTTACCCAATATGAGTACTACTCTCCTCTCTCCCCCGACTCTGTCCAGAGAGTGCTTCGTCCTCTCTGCGTACTGTTCCCCCCCACAGGACTTCATGATTTGGTTTTGCATATGTGCGTGTTCAATCCAGTCGTTTCGGGTTGTTCTAAAGTGGTGTTCCCGCTGCAGCGCCGCCCTCATTACTGCGTTTCGGTCATTCAAAACCGTGTTCGCGCTGCAGCGCTGGCCTCGTTCCCGCGCCTCCGGACGGCACTTGGCATTCGAAAGCGCCCACATCGGGCAGGCACGGTTGCGAAGAACATGGAGCCAGCATTCCGGACAGGCCCTGTCCACTCGCACACGGGCCAGCGACCCTCCAAGACATCCGGTGTCATGCCAAGGCATGCAATGCGATGCTGTGATGTGCACCGCTGTGCGATGCCATGATTTACGTTGTTACGAGTTGTGATACAATGCTTCACTACGCAATGCCACGCCATGCTATGACATGCTATGCTCTGCCGTGCTCTTCTACGCCACACTGTTATATCCACCACGTTTCCTCTTTAAACCATTGCCCTACTCGACATCGGACTGCGCGAATAGATAGAAGATCTACGCCATGGTAAGCGATGGGAGGGAGGGGCAGGACATCAGATGTGACGCTAGTGCACATAGTTGGTCCTCCTCCTCCACCTCCTCCTCCACCTCCTCTTCCTCCTCGTCTTCCTCTATCCATCCACTCCCCCTCATCCGCGCCCATGCCCCTGCCCAACTCCTACTGGCCCACGTCCTCCGCCCTCCTCATTCTTCATCCCTCCTCGTGAGGTGGAAGAGCACTGGAAGCAGGTCCGAGGCGGAGAAACGAGGAGGACTGAGGGAGGAAGGCTTCGGAAGGAGGGAGGAGGGAGGAAGGAAGGAAGACCCACCAAACAGGAGGCCGGAATCCAGTCAAGAAAACCCACCCTCTGAATGGCCGTGCTGTCGCCGCCTCTTCTTGGGCGCGGTGCGACCCCCGCGAACCCGCCCCCGGGGGGGAGGGCGCTTACGCTGGACGCTCAGATCCAATCAAGCGAAGGGAGGAGGGAGGAGGGAATAGGTTGACAGAACGAGGGGGGAGGGCAGGAGGGGTCAGGGGAATCGTGGACGCTCCCAGGAGTGCCTCCTCAGAGGATGTTGCTCCATCCCTCTGGTTTACAAAACAATTCCTCCCCGTCGCACCACTAGATGTGTTGGCAGGGGTGGCTGGACGTTGCATCTGAGATCCCCTGTCCAGTCAGTTTATCCATATGAAGCTAGAGTTCCCTAGCAGCAGCAAGGAGAAGGGAAGCGCGACTGTATTCGAAATGCGAACTTATGGAGGCCAGCGTAAATAGTTTGCTCTCGCCTCAGCGCTGCGAACATTCGTCCTCAAAGTGTCCAACCGCTGTCAGGATGGACGGCGGGTCGTGTTCGACGTGTGGCTATCGCTTTAGCGCCGCGCACATACGTCGTAAAGCTCGCGACAGCTGCAGGGATAGAGGGCGGGTCATTATCGCAACATGTATCTCGTCATAGCGCCGCGCGCAGCGTTTGTTTATACAGTTCGTGATGTGAGTCTGGCTTGAAAGTTTCTGAATCTGCATGACCAGAAATCCCAAAGTGTACTAGGTACACGGATGCAGGGCTGATCCTGCTCAACATGGGGACTATCGTTGGAGGCGTCGTAAAGGCGTCCGGCCAGACGTTCGGAACGTATGAGACACAGGCGTGCACTGATGCAGGGAGGTCCTTTCCCACACCAGCGTGTCGATCGACGTTGCCATGAAGCATACAAGCATGTCCTTCATTACACCTCATATGGATAGAGAGATGGAGAGCGGTTCCTTCTCAAAACGAGGAAGTTTCAAGATTGGCAGACCTTCGTTCTTCCTGTCTTTCGGCGAGGAAGTTGTTGGAATAAGTGATGCCGGAGCTTATGATGAGTAAAGTTTGGACGGGAGGGTGTATTGCAGCATCGCAAATAGATCCTGGGTTTCTTCCGCTAATCCTCCTCCCACTCATCCTCCTCCTCCTCCTCCTCCTCCTCCTCCTCCCTCATCGTTCTCCGCCCTCGCTTCCTCTTGATCACGCTTCGTCCTCCTACTCCTCCCCCTCTCGTCCTCAAACAAATCCTCCGTATCATCCTTCTCATCCTCCTAATCCTCCTCCTCCTCCTCCTCCTGCGCCCTCTTCCTCACCCTCACCCCATTATCCTCCCTCATCCTCCTACCACCACTTCCCCTTACTCCTCATCTCCCCTCCTCCCCATCAAACTCCATGCCTCCTCCCTCCTCCTCATCCTCCCTCCTCCGTCCCCCCTCCCCCTCCCACGCCTCCAGAAGGAGGAAGCAGCAGGTCGACGACGACAACTACTGCCACGACAACCA